AAAAGTAGGGTGTCGTCGAAGTGAAAACTTTGATTAAATTGCGACTTCAACGGTTCAGAAGAATTCACACAATCGGTATATTTGCATCCAGCTATCTGATAGCTATGACTGATAAATTACTTTTTCAACATAACCTGATTTATTCGCCAACAAGACAACATCCGGTTAGGTTACATTTTGGAAATTATTCCCAGTCCCGGAAATCGATCCATATGAGGCACAATGAGATACATCACCCACCGATTTATGCGATAAATGTTGAATTATTAACAGTGCTTTTATTGACGTTTCATCCTTCAAACTTCACTTTCAAACTATTCTAGCCGGGTTTGGGCTGCGGTAGAGCCTCATTTATCACAGGATATAATATTCGTGTTTGGACGACCGAAAAATTTCATCTAATTTACAATTTCGAAACCATCAACGCATAACTCTGCTAAACAATCCAGATAACTAGCCAACAAGTATGGTACAGTCCTTATCATTCATTTTTTTATCATCAGGACGACAAAGTTCTAGCAACAACGTATTTTTAGGCATATTATTTAATCGTATTTGTCATCAAGCTGTCTGAGTACCAATTTAGCTTTTTTGGGGTACCCTAACAAGTTTTATGGAAACCATTTAGTGTCATATCAGTAACATTTCAAACTGTCCCTTTAACCTAATCACAGTTACCAGTCTCACTGATCTAACCCGGTGACGATGTCTGAATGATGGACATTCAGCAAAATGATTTCACAATCTCTTCACCCAAGGATCTGTCCCTGGTCCACTTTTTTTCGTGGCTTACGCCAATGACTTGCCCGGACACTAATGCAGCCCGTTCCTCATGTTTGCAGAGGACATAAAAATCTGTTGCATGATTGAAAGTCCAGAGGATCAGAGAATGCTACAAGTGGACCTGAACACCCTGGAACATTGACCTACACCTAAGCCCTTCCGGTGAATCTTGCTAAGTCCGCCTACGTGCACCAGGAGCATGGTGAATGAGAAGTGGCTAACAGCTTCCAAAAATCGCATTGCGAAATCATCGTGCAAAAGGGACCTGGTAACTACGGCCACGTCATCATGAAAGACCCGAAACAACCCTTATCTGATGAACGCCAATGATAGAGTATTCGGACATCTATTGGGAGAACTTTTGGGCGAAGAACGATGGAGGCCGTCAGATTACTGTAAGCTTCCAAAGTCAGACCGTGACTTGAATAAGGTGATGCGGTGACATACACCTGCACGGCCGTTGAATGGTTCAATTTGGAGCATGTGCAAAGTGCTGCCACTAGACCAGTTGTTAGATTATTTGAGACCAGCTACGAAGGTCGTCTACAGGCCACTAATTTTTCCCATTTGCGTATAGGCGCGTAAAGTGTATCTGATCTGTCTAAGTAATATCCTGGCGGGTGCTATGGGCCGGAAGTTGTAACAGCATTTCCCACTACGAAAAGAGCAACGCACAAGGGGGCGCCCCCTCACGCTGTGGAAACTTCAGTTGATTGGTCTGCCGTTAGTCTATCTACTCAGGAGTTCCCTTCGAACGAGGAGTTGACCCAGGCTGCTTTTAAACGGATTCTGGATGAGTACCTTTAGGGTGTGTGGAGAGGCAACGCCTGACCTAGCGAGGCCTTATGTAGTTCGCCACTCCAACTCCTGGGGTTTAGGTTGCCGGTTACCATCACTGGACAGCAGGTCTTCGTAACTATGTGGTCCGCCCCATATGCTATTCATAGAACACAGGTATGTAATAAAAAGCCACATGTTATCGACCGGTGGACCCAGTGGTGACGGGGCTTACATCGGTACCCAACCCTCTGCCCTCAACTCTGAAGATATTGATATCTTGGCAGCTCGAGTACATTTCTCTATGCACTGCATTTGCCACTCCGTCGCAGATAACACGCCGGATGGGTCCTCTACAGGTATGACTACGTGTTGTTTTAGCATATTTCATTCCACGCAATGCTTTATCACTATACATAACTTCAATTACACTGAGAGCTAGAGAGTACGAGGAAAGGCGCAGGTTATTGCTCCGTTCTTTTCATCTTTTCGTTTTTCTTTTCATTTTACTTCCTTTTATTGAACATACAAAGATGCAATTTTCAGGAAGGGAGAGGCAACCAAGGAAACGGCTGCCATTCAGCATACAATGGAAGAAGTCGGGCGGTGGTGGTAGGATTCGAACTCTCGTCCTCCGGGGTGATAATTTGGTGTCGTTACCACCGGACCACCACCGCCCAGAAAGGGATGGTCCGAAAACCTCCCCACTGGCAAAACCTAAGTGCCCGAGCGAGCCCGATTAGGGATCGTCGCAGGTTTCGACTTGCCAGGGCGAGCCTCCACCTGGGTCCAGGGCGTCCTTGATCATCCTGATCCCGGTGCCAAATTCGGATAGAACTACCAAGAGGTCAATTACTGAAGTTCTATGTCTATATGACTAAGTCTGCATCGACTATGTACCCCAAATCGTATAATTAATTGTATAATCAAACATATATGGATTGGCTGATTATTAATCTTTCCCAATATGCCACCGATGTAATACACACGTTGCACACCATACGGACATCATTGTCTTCTCGTGGAAACCACGTTTTGGGCCGGTCCGATTGTAGTCGTAATCTTAATTCAATTAATGACCTCCGAAAGTTTATTGAACTTCCCGTGCTTAAAGTTTCCTCAATGAACCAGACTGACTTGAGGGGAGAGAGTAAATACTCGCATTGCAATTTGTTTCACGCTGGTCTGCAGTAAGCAGAAAAGTTGTATTGCGGTTCTGAAGCAACGCTCTACCGGGGCGAGGGGTAATATAGATTTTGTTAGTGGTTACCCTCTTTGTATTTCTTAGTACTGTTTGTGAATCATGTTTTTTATACTGACGCTGTTATCGAACAACTGCTCATGTTTTGATCAATCATCATTTCGGTCATCTTTTATTGCGCTTGTATGCATAGACAACTGAACATTAATAGACCAGGCTTATCTTATGATCTAAACATACAATGAAAAAGGAAATTAATGAAACCAAGTGATTTCAACGTTTTTGATTATCGAACTCAGAATCCATGCACACAAAAGTGGATTTCTGAAAAACGCCCTAGTGTTTGAGCCCATGAGTTACTATAGAATTGATCAGCGCGTATGCACGTCAAGAGTTTGACCATTAGTCGCCACAATGAAAAATAATTTGCCATTTTTACAGGACATTTTTGATAACTACAGTGGTTAAACGGACAACAGTTCGGGGGGAGGAGAATCGGAATCGATGTCATGGTAATTCGACTGGTTACGGTGGAAACTTTGGCATGCACAAAATTGGATTACGTTACTTGAATAACATCGCTTCGCAGAAGCCTAATAGCCTTGGATGCATGTTATGTAACAACGTCTGGAACGACAAAAGTGAGTCGACGATGTGTCCAACGGTCATGAGATTTTTTGCGATTTATCACCCTGAAAATGTTAATATCTCGCAGTTTTCTCTCTGTTCTAACAAATTGGATGAAGGGGATCCAGTGTTTCAGGTGTTTGATAAGCTTGATTTTCATTTAACAACTTTGCATTGATTATATTCACATACAATCAATATTCATCCACATTTCAGTAGTAGTTAGCATTCAGGTACTTTACCGTATTCGAATTTCTTGTCCGTCTCACTACAAATATGTAAAAAAAGGAATCTGAGCGCAAATTACAACTTAGTGTATATTGGAAGTGGCAGATGAAGACCTGGGCAGCAATGAAGGCTGATTGAACTTAGTTGGGTTACGCAGATAGTACGGTTTTCAGTGACCCAATTGATCCCCGAGCGCTTTCAATTTTTCATTAAACATTTCCTTTATGTTGTTCAATAGTTCATAGCGTTTAATCTCAATTTTCCACAAAGCTAGGTATAACGCATCAACGCTCGTTGGGAATCTTGGCAATTAGGCTCTCTTCCATAAAACCATCAGAATTTGATGCAAATTTTAGTTGAATTGATGGATATGTAAATTTGAGGGATTGGTAACAATCTAGCTGAGAAANGAAAGTTTTCGCAGCGTATCAATGTAACATGTTGATTCTGCATGATCTTCTACAAACAAATATTCTCTCGATGACTTTATGTGCGGATTATTCCACTCAACCCTGTATTTTCGGTTCACAAACGTTCGCCAATCAATGTGAACGTTTTTGAGCCTTGCAAATCTGCCTCGGTGCCCGCGCGGTTCGTTCACGACCAAATTGTCTCAATCATGAGAAAGAAAGCTAAGTTAAGCTCTCAAGCNTCTCAAGCTCTACTGGTGCATTCCTTATGTCGGGACGTGGGATCGCGTTCACACGATGGCGCTTATTTCATCCCTCTGTGGATAAAACTTTTACCATGGTGGCTGGGAACTCTGACCGACGTTCGTCTTGCTTGTGCATGTGCTTACGATGCTTTCTCAAAAGGTTCTGAACCCTGTGATCGATCTGGTATTACCATATCGATGTGATGTGGTGGAGGAGGATGACGGTGAGTAAGACGTGACCAGTGTCGTGGGAACGTTTATGTGAAAAACCGAATGACCTCTCAGGTCACCCTGGTTCGCATGTGACTGCGCTTGTCTGTATGCGTGATGAAGACTGAGTGAAACGCGTACAATACTGACTGGACCACCGCATGCACAATGTAAGTACCCTAAACATGGGCCTGCATGTGATCCGTACAATTTGCTTGCGAAGTTCACATGCAAGCAAACAAACACACCCGCACGTATATCTTACTTTTCTTGTGACCTAACGCTGTCTCAGTACTGAAACTGTTAGCCGAACGTTGACCTCAGGCATCGATACCTGTGCCAGTACGCACATACACACAAGCACGCGCACGATTATCTGCACTCGGTCTTGGTCATAAGCGGTTTGCGCACAGTGTAATATACAGGTGTGCTCACCAGTTCATATGGCGCACACGGTTTCACTTTCATCAGACTCACGAAATACTCTACCGTTCGGCTGACACGGTCAAAATTACTTTTATGTTATCTGTGCAGCAGGTGTACTTGGGCTTACCACAACCACGCCGTATGTCCACGCGAAGTAGCTTGTCTAAAACTCGATGGAGTCGAATCGATAGTAGTACACAACGACTGAGTCGAGTGGACGACAGTGATGTGTGGAAACTGACAGATCTGGTACGTGTGGACAAGAAAACCAAACAACGTATCAGCTTCCAGTGCAAAGTGGCCCCGGTAAAACAGATTCGTTTGAGTACGAACGAGGCAATGACCAGAACTCGACTGGATACGATTGTGCAACAGTGTCCGCTGCTCAAACAACCCACCTGTNNNACCTGTAAACTGTACTGTCTAAATGACCAAATCCGCATGTCACGTATCAGAGCTCTGAGTGGTGGACCGTATCATGAATCGATTTTGTATTCGGATATTAAATATTGGGTAGCCGGGGTGGAACAACATCAAAACCTATTCGGAATCTATGTGGAAGACTCGCACCGGGATCGACGCACATGTGAAGTCTATCAGTGCAGTAGTCCGGATCATGTGCTACAAATCACCTACTTGCTCGGTCGTGCTCAACAAAATCCAGAGAAGTGTTTGAGGCAACAGTCGAGAGCTCTATCCACTCAGTCTGATTTGTTACGCAGTCCGGACAGTGACGGCACGGAATGTCCCATTAGCAGTTTACCAAGGCTTTCTTTTGACACAAACGATTTACCCAAATCAATCCAGGAACGGAACTCAATTGACCTCGGTAGCAGAAAAGAAAATGGTGAAATGAAAAACGGACATGTGTCGCGTCACAGTCAGACACATGATTCAGTCCCGTCACCAACGAGTCCTCGTCTTTCATACACAGACAATGGACAGGAGGTTAAGTCTCCCTTGAATTCAACAGGAGACAATGACCAGAAGGATAGAAAACATTTTGTAAGCCGAAGCACAGAGTTCTCACCTATCCCCATGCATCTGAATGGATTTCATTCGAACGACCTGGAATGGGATCAATATGTAACATATTTGGAACCCGATCCAGTGCACGGTGCTCGAATTACAAAGCATGGACCGATCTATATGTTTGCTATGCGTATTGAAGCGGATTCGTTGATGGTTTAACTGACGTAAGCTTGTGCCTTGCGATGGAGTACTAGTGGCAAATGGTGAGTAGTGCTACCATCTTACGAAATAAATTGGTTTGAATTAAAAATTTGGGATATTTTTCCAAGCAACATCTCCTCCACGATGCACATCCCAGCCACATCACCTACATATCTATAAAACATTCTGTCGCCTTCTACCATGTATGAATCTTCATCAGTCAAGCATGTCGAAAGTAAAGCACTTCTTAAAAAGCATTCCGCAATTGGAATAATTATTTCATTGGCTTTGTTGTATGATATTTTGTTTTCTCCTTTCTAAATGGTTTGTTTACTACTACTAATATTACTACCACTACTGCTGTGTTTAATGGAGTTTATTCCCATCTATGTGCTTCTTTTATTTTCACCATTGGTAATATTGCTGTTTATTCAAAGACATATTGCCACACATTTACGCGTTCTGGTTCTTCTTGCTTCAATGATGTGTTTGGAGTTGAGTCCCACGCACACTGGTTGTGAGCCATTAACGCACCCTACAGACTTAATATTGTCGGTTGAAGTATGTAGTGTTTTTCACTAAACCGAACGTGCAAGAGTGTCGATCCCAGGCATCAGGACCCTCTCGACCACACCGGGCTGGTTTCGGAGCAGTATAGACCTCAGCGTATCGAAGGCGGTAACATTGCCTGCTCAGTCAGGGTGAGAATACGTGGGACAGGGGGAGGGTAGGAAATGTCTGTCAAAATGATATTCGCCAAATTCCAATCAAAAAGAGACATCCGGGTGCCATATCACACAGTATTAATGTGAAACTGAAGGCCAGATCCAATCCGGGTAGCCTACCTAGAGTTACCGTTTGTGGTCCACAATCCTGTAAGTTCCGGTTGAAGCTCTCTCAAACTCGATATTTAGATACTGATGACAATTCGCACCAGGGAAGTGGTAACTCGAGAATGCTTCCGTGGTTTTTCCTTGGCGTGAGTGACAAGTTGACATTATGATGAATAGCTTTCAAGCTGATCGATATATATAAATATGTCCAATAAGAAAACTATGGAACAAAGATGACTAATCATTAGTCGGTTTAACGCCACTCAGATGGGGTGGCTCAAACGAATTCAAAAGGAAATCGTTCACGTGCATCAGGAAACCGATCGCTCTAACAAATTAAGCTTTTATGCGAAGGATCGCTCGTACCGGGCTATGTGTCTCTTGTTGGATTTCAATAAAAAGTGTTTCTTTCTAGTAAAGTCAAATAAATTCAGGGTCTACTGCAAGACTTCCTTCAGGGTTAATCAGAATGCAATTGGGGGATCGCAGTTGTTCATATGGGTGTATTGACGGAGTATCACAAGTTTCAAAAGAACAACCTTCACAAGTTACCCAAAACGAACATTCGTTCACTAAATTTCATCTGCAAAACGAAATTTGTTTGTGTTTAGCGAACGCACACCCGCACACACCCTCAAATGTGTCCACCGGCCATCGTTTTCAGTTCAAACGCCATGGGTCGTTGATTACATGGTTGAGAACAAGCCACTTGAAGTCTAACAAGATATATTCATCACCCAGAAGCAACGCGTCACTCATTAGGAAAAAGCTTTGGAGGAATTACACAATCACCGCAACCTCAGCATGAATCATCAGGTTGTCCAAAAATAGACGTACGTCATGGTTACAGTTCTCACTGGCTATCAGTGAAGACGATGCGGAAATAGACTTGAATCAGTATAACATGAACAGGCTGCACACGAGAGAGGTCCGAAGCTCAAATCCGAGATGAACCACAACTGATTAGCTCTGACGCGAGTCAAAATTTAGTCTAACATAATTCTCTATAGTCTATTGTAGACTGGATGCACTGAAGTTTGTGCGTAAAGGTGCAAGGGTATTGATTATATGTTTGGTAGCATTGAATTGTTCTATTAGTCTCGGGCCCATTGAAAGCGAATAACCTCTAGGATGGTTTGGAATAGACTCGTGTTTGCATTATATACCGGTGAAAAGGTGTAAGTACCTCTCAAGGGGCCACGCACAGGTGTCCACATGTTTAATCCCAAGGTGTCCGCATCTTGTACCTTGGTTTGGAGACGATTTCTGTGAATATGATTTATCAATCGGCCTCATCAAAAGAACTAAACCGAATGTGCTTATGGCGGTTCTTGCTGGTTTGGCCGATCTGCCCAAGATCCGTTGCCACACGAAGTTTACATTGTTTATTGTATAGGTTGAAAATACTTGAGCAGCGTAAGGAACGAAAAATCGCTGAGACACAGTAAAACTGTTTCTGCATTCTCATCCCACTAACTTCAACGAGAAACAAACACTGTACCTTACAGGTGAAAATCTATAGCATGTTATTTTCAAGAAGGTAAAAATCTTCCTGAAAACTGACCCATTTCTATGAGAAAAAGCAATTAAAAGAAAAGTATCCATCGAAGATTCCAGAGATTTCGTGGTATGTGTGAGCAGTTATGTAAGTTCCTAATTCGCCTAATCTCATTGGTCAAGTCTGCCATGGAACGTTCGAATATTGTATTGTATTGTATTGTGTATAACTTTTGCAAGCTTTGGAGCTCATATTTCAGTTAAAAAATCACACACGCTAATCGTCACAATGTACATAGCAAACTATGAAAACATTCTCACAGATATGAGGATATTTCATAACCCAAGGTTAATACAAAGTTCCCTTATTGTCCGCTCTTCGTTTATGAGTACACGAGCAAGTAACGGTATGAATGAATTGCGGTAAGCGTTAATTGGAGATGAAATTTGACGAAATTGGGAGTGTATTGAATGATGGGAACAATATCGTGTCAGTTCTGCGTGTAATAGATGGTCAGGATCTGTGAGGATCCTCTCGGCAAATTTCACACAAGAAGTTACGTGATCCTCTGAAAACCTTAAGGCTAACTCATTCACT